GAACTTCAAATCCTACATACAGTTATACATACCTATAAAATAGCAGTAGTCGAGTCAGCGTTGTTAAATAATCTGGGAATGAATAAATGCAGGAAGTAAATAACTGGTGATGTATTAAATAGAGATCGCCTCTGTGGTCTAGTGGTCAGAGTTCCTGGTTACAGATCTAGATGTTCTGGGTTCGATTTCCGGCGCTGCCAGATTTTCTGAGAAGTAGTGGGTCAGAAACGGAGTCCACTCAACCTCGTGAGGATAATTGAGGAGCTGTTTCAAAGAAGTATCGGCTCCGGTCCAGAAAACCGGCCGTGGAGGTCCTTTGCGTTTACCACGCGACACCCTCTATTCGCAAAAGTTGGCACTGACTTCGCCGAAAAGCAGCGGTCGCTCGGTCGGTATAGTTCGCTTGCGGACTACAGGCCACAGATATTTTTTTGTATTAAATACAGGGAGTCCAAAAAATGTACTCACTCTTTGATAGTCAATATCTTTGGAATGAAATGACATGTAGTTACAATTCTTGCGCGGTAGTGTAGTGTAATGTTTTCTCAACAGATGACGAAGGTCACGTGAGTGTCGTGCCGCGTGTGCGCTGCGAGCAGAAGACAGCAGCAACAATGCCTGAAAGGTTGTTCCTTGAGCAACATAAGTTTGTATTGAAGTGGTACTGGAAGTACGAAAACATTAAAGAGGTACAACGACAGTGGCAGAATGAGTTTGGAACTCAGCCACCAACACGTCGAACAATTGCCCGTATTCAGGATAAATTTGAAGCCGACGGCACTGTTCATGATGTGCATAAGCAAAGATCTGGGCGACCGCGGATAGTAACAAGTCCAGCTTCCAGTGCTGTGGTGTTGCAACACTTTACACGATCACCTCAAAAATCTGTGAATCAGTGTGCACGCCCTGCCATTCGAGAGCTGTTTGGAGATGAGGGATTTTACCTACAACAGGATGGTGCTCCACCTCACTACCATCTATATGTCAGGGCGTACTTGGATGACACTCTACCGGGACGATGGATAAGGTCGAAGAGGTGCTATTGAGCACCCACCACGGTCTCCAGACCTAACACCTTTCGACTTCTACCTATGGGGAACCTTGAAGGATAAAGTTTAACGAAAAAAGCCAACTACACTGAACGCATCACAAGAAACCATCGAAGCGTTGTGTGAAGCCATCACACGGGACACACTGACAGCTGTAGTTCGCTCAGCAGTTCGGCGGCATCGACGCTGTTTAGCCGCTGATGGTGGTCACTTCGAACACATACAATGACTCTCTCTCTGCGCAAGAATTGTAACTACATGACATTTTGTTCCAAAGATATTGACTGTCAAAGAGTGAGTACATTTTTGGACCCCTCTGTAGTATAAGTGAGTTGCACGTAACGTTTCAGTCTTGAGGCCGCGCCATAGCTCAAGCAGATAGTCGCTGGCTTCCCATCGCTGCGGTGCGGGTTCGACCCAGGTTCTGCTAAAGTGGGATTTGTGGTGAACAAAGTGGCGCTGGGGCAGGTTTTCTCCGAGTACTTCGGTTTTCCCTGCCAATCTTCATCCCACCAATTGCTCCACAATCACCCTACCTATCATCTGGGGCTAATACAATAGGCCAGAAGTGGCCGCAGTACAAGGGACTTAGTCCCACCCCACTAGCAATAAAGAAAAACGTTTCAGTCTTGCTATGGCTTTGCAAAACTTGAGGCGTAATTTAAACTACGCATTTTGTAGTCTCTTTCGATCTTAATAATTGTATTGGTAAGAATACAGTATGTGTGTTGTGAGTATATCTCAGCCGTGGATACACACACTGGAACTTTACGTATGTAGTTCAGTTTCGATAATCCAAACTAATTAAAGGACTGATATATTTGGACTGTTGAATCTTGTGGATTACAGGATTTCAAATAAAAAATTCAATTTTGATTAAAATTAATCAAAACACGTATAGTTATATTTTATATACGAGTATAAACAACGACCGAAACCCGTGGACGCACGACTACAAGCCGGGCTCGGAGCAAGCCGTAACTGGGTTACATCTGTCACCACCCGGAGAGGCAGGTGCCTGTTTCACAAGAGTTAGTTTTTACTGCATGGAAATAAAATGATTAGGTTAAAATTGTAATTTTTGAAGGCTTCTTCTCTTGGCGAAATGACGTGGATTGGATTTGTTGAGGTTCCGCTGTAATTCCATTCGTGACCACCAGGGCGGCAGCTGCGTGCAGGCAGTGCGGACTACAGCACAACCTAGTGTGGTACTGTTGGAACTATAGCTGCAAATGCACCTTACGTAATGATGTAAAGTCGTTCCTGTGGTTAATTATCTAAGCACCACACCATGAAGACGTATGGAGGAGTTGAAGGTATAGCTCCACCATTCATGATTTCGATACAAATATATTATTATAAGAGGCAGTAAGCCGGTCACGGTTGCCGAGCGGTTTAAGGCAAGTACTGTCTTCGCTCACTTGGAAACCGGGATCGTGGGTTCGAATCCCACTTAGGGCATGGATGTTTATTTTGTGTGTGTGCGTTTTTCTGTGTTTATATACAGGTATAGGCCTTGCGACGAGCTGATCACCCGCCCAAGGAGTCCTACCGTATGTGTAAGATCTAGAAAAACCGAAGTGAACGGAGAAGTTCATGGAGGTAGGCCTTGGCCCACTGGGGCTGTAGTGCCAAGGAAGAAAAAAGAGCTAATAAATCACTGGAGAGTTCTATAACGCCGAGTAGTCCGTTGAAGGTCAACCGACGTTTCGGGGAATATGTCACCTCCATCTTCAGGGTAGAAGAATAAGCCAAGCAAGAAAACAGCCTGAAAGCATGTGGTAAACAGAGAAATTGGCTTTCAGAAGGAAACAGGAGGAAATAGAAGACAGCAAGTCAGTTTCCGTTGGCTCGCCCGTAGGACAACACAACGGAGCGAACCAGTAGGAGACAAGAACAGGATAACCATCATTGACCTAAAAGGGGCAGTTTTTGCTGGTCTAGGAAGAGACAGGGGAGAAGTAGTAAGGGTGTGGTGGACAGAGAACCGAGGGATATGGGAGAGAGGTGTGCTTGGGGCCTAGGCGTGCGGCGGGGAAACGGAAGGGAGTGGGGCAGTCCTAAGTCTCCACTCTGCTGTCACTGTTTTTGGCAGTTAAGGTGCTTACGAAAGAAACAGCATTCAGTATCAATTACATGTGTCTGTTTCATATGGACCAGAACCCTTCTTGAGAATCAAATAATCGCTAAGCTCCTCGCCTTTTACTTGACTCGAAGGTTCATTACCGTGCTCACAAGAGCTTGTCACTAGCTCCTATACAGAGCCAGATAAATCCAGCTCGCATCCTGTATTTTGAGATAATTATTTAATATTATCCTTCTTTTCTACCGGCAACAAACTTGTGTCTCTCTGAAGAGACAGCGTAACTCAATGTAGTAACTTGGCTACAGGCTGGGCGATCAGAGAATCGGAGTTCGATAACTGGCAGAGGCAGTGACTTGCCGCATTCGGACCGGTTCTGGTGCGTACAGAGATTCTGGGGTAAAGCGGCAGAAGCGTGAAGCTGATATCTCGCACCCATTTATTGCCGATATTAAAAGTGCGTGGTGCTTAGTTAATATAGAATATGAACAAATTTATTGAGCCGGTATAGCGACTGGCTACAGGCTGGATGATGCGTGGAGCTATACCTCCACTCACCCATACGTCTTCATGTCGAACTGCACAGGGAGAGTGTTAACATTTAATATAGTCGTCAGATTTATGCCTGAATGTCTAAAGTGGCCTCTTCCTTTAGGGGTTTACTTACTTACTTATGGAGCTGAGCCCTTCTTGAGGAGCCGCCAATTCTGCAGCTACTCAAGAATTTCCCAGCATTTTATGGAACCTCAAGGTTCATTACCGTGTTCACAAGAGCCCTCCACTGGTTCCTATCCTAACCCAGATGAATCCAATTCATACCATCCCATCCTATCTCTTTAAGATCCATTTTAATATTGTCCACCCACCTACACCTTGGTCTTCCCAGTGGTCTCTTTCCTTCTGGGTTTCCCACCAATATCCTATATGCATTCCTCGTCTCCCCCATTCGTGCTACATGCCCTGCCCATCTCCTTTAGGAGTTTCTGACAAAAATTTCGAATGTATTTCTCATTTTTCACATGGCGTGCTTTAGGTCTCAAATGTTATATTCCTCCATTTGATTGCGCAACAATGTTTCGCGAAGGTTCGTATGGTGGCATCCCTCATTATGCAAGATAAGTACTGCTGTTTCCACTGTAACAAATTCAGATATTCTCCTCAGCATTCATGTATGTTAAGTGATGCCAGTACTGAGTAATTTCTTAGGTCACGTAAATACATATATATATATATATATATATATATATATATATACGTTTTTTATTACGATCTCTCACATGAACACATCTTACGGCATTGCTTTATTCTTAACTGTTTTATTAGGTAAAAAGAAAAAAAGACAGACAGGCCGTTTTAGTCCTTAGGGTTGTGAGACGTCGAGGTTCCCACATTTTTATAGACAATCGGCTCACAGATGGCGGTTAGGATGTCAGCCTTACGTTCCGGCCGTCCTTTACCCCCAACAACTTTCCTGATACTAATTTCTGTTAGAGCCTGAGTCGACCCCAGGACCATTGTGCGACTGCAATGATTATATCAATTGAAAAAATCCAGTGACCTCATCGGAAATCGAACCCGCTATGTTGCGGCTTGTAGCATAGTGCCTCAATCAGCTACGCCACCGTACGTCGGACAAGTACAAAAAACAAAAATTACGGAACGATTGAGCATATATTTTGAGTTCTGTCGTAATGAGAAATATACATAACATATCTCGATATACGTAGTATGTTTTCTTAATTCTTACTTCTTTTTTATCTTTATGATAGATATTCGCCCTCTGTTTATGCGTTCAGCTCTTCGACATGTTTCTGCACGATAGAAATGTTAAAATATACAAGTGTCGATTTTATTACTCATGTAGCCTCATTGTGTTTTGAAGTGTATGTTGAGCCTTCACCACCAGTAGCTGGGGTAATAGCCGTAGGAGCCATAGGAGGAGTACAGGCCGTGTCCATATCCATAACCGTAACCATAGTAAGGGTAACCTGCAACACACAAGAAAAACATAATGAGATTACATTTTATAGGGGCCATTGTTACAGATGCACTGTTTACGCGAAATTAAACCTCAAAGTATTTATTATTATGTAAGATTTGAGGATTTCACGGCGGTGACTATGAAGAAAGCGGTCTTCTGGGATGTGGCACCGTGTAGATGTGATGTTAACCGTCGTTTCGGGGGAACGTACCGCCTCCATCCTTCTACCCTGAAGATGGAGGCGATACGTTCCTCCAAAACGTCGGTTAACACCACATCTACACGGTGCCACATCCCAGAAGACTGCTTTCTTCATATTTATTATTATATTTAAACTGCAAATGGGTTTTTACCCGGTGGCAGTGGTACTACANTAGGAGGAGTACAGGCCGTGTCCATATCCATAACCGTAACCATAGTAAGGGTAACCTGCAACACACAAGAAAAACATAATGAGATTACATTTTATAGGGGCCATTGTTACAGATGCACTGTTTACGCGAAATTAAACCTCAAAGTATTTATTATTATGTAAGATTTGAGGATTTCACGGCGGTGACTATGAAGAAAGCGGTCTTCTGGGATGTGGCACCGTGTAGATGTGATGTTAACCGTCGTTTCGGGGGAACGTACCGCCTCCATCCTTCTACCCTGAAGATGGAGGCGATACGTTCCTCCAAAACGTCGGTTAACACCACATCTACACGGTGCCACATCCCAGAAGACTGCTTTCTTCATATTTATTATTATATTTAAACTGCAAATGGGTTTTTACCCGGTGGCAGTGGTACTACACAAATACACAACACACATCACACAAGATAACACACGGCATATATAAAAACAATAAAGAACACACTACACAAAATGAATATACACTGCAAATACGATTTATATAACAAAATCAAATACAACTACGATACTGTCTAAGGGAATCAGTTTTGAATTAAGAAGTGAACATGAACCCCGACATACCGGGTGTCCTAAAAGTTCCTTTACCGATGCAGTGAAGTGTGATTATGCTTTACTTGCGTTGAGATTTTTGTTTGCAACATATGCTAACAGTGTTATAGTAGCATTTGTTTCCGTCAGCTGTTGTGTTCTTGGTGTGTTTAGTCAATTTGTATTTTTCTGTAAATAAAGTAGTATTCCCCTCCCACTGGAACTGGAATACGATCTCGGTGAAGTGCCTTTGGCGACACTCTGTACTTCTGTCATACTCGTACATGATCATCTTCAGGGGCATCATATTTCCGGAGGAACATTTACATGAATTAATTGTAATTATTATTTACATTAAAAATTTATTTTTACAGTTGGACACCTCTGAACATAGCTGTTTATAGCTGAAACATATCAGGCTTTATATATTTTTTCTCTTTGGCGTACAGCCCCAATTTGGGCCTTCGCCTACCTCCATGAAACTATCCGTTTCACTTCGGTTTACTAGATCTTAGACATTCGGTAGGACTCCTTGGGCGGGTGATCAGCTCATCTCAAGCCCTCTATCTGTACACAAACAGAAAAACGCACATACACACATACACATACCAAACATCCATGCCCTGAGTGGGATTCGAACCCACGATCCCGGTTTCCGAGCAGCCGAAGAGAGTGCATGCCTTAGACCACTCTGCTACCGTGACCGGCAAGGCTTTGTAATTACTTATTAATTAAAAACCTAATGCGTTAATGGTGCTCTTGTGTTTAAGTTAATGATATGGAAATTAATTCATGACATTTAGGCCCAGAAAGATCACGATTCTCTTTTCCATAATTACACGTTCTCGTCTTTCTGTCTTCTAAGAGTGACTGGATTGGTCATTTCTGCCTTTCTACCCGTCTCTTGAGTGTCCTTCATCTCGAGAACTGTTTGACGGATTCTAATTAATTGTGCTTTTTTTATTGCTAGTGGGATGCGACTAAGTCCCTTGTACTACGGCCACTTCTGGCCTATTGTACCAGCCCCAGATGATAGGTGAGTATGATTGTGGAGCAATTGGTGGAATAAAGATTGGCAGGGGAAACCGAAGTACTCGGAGAAAACCTGCCCCAGCGCCACTTTGTCCACCACAAATCTCACTTGACCAGACCCGGGATCGAACTTGGGCCGCCGCGATGGGAAGCCAGCGAATAACCGCTTGAGCTATGGCGCGGTTATTAAATTTTGTACTTAATAGTTTTACGAAACGTTGTCGAGCCCTGTAAATTCTAATTGAAATTAGACGTGTATAACAAAGAGTTTACTTGAAGCCCTAAGTGCGTTCCTGTGTGTATCTCGCTAAATGTTATCTCAGAGTAGGATGTTTCGATTGAAAAATGTAGACAGCAGACGTTTAATGTCCAGTAAATTTTCTCCGTACATCTAAAGGGTTTCGAGATGATTAAAATGTATGTTATAAGTACATCTTCGAAATTTAGTATATACGTGTAAGAAGAAAGTTCTTGAAAAACCTAATCTCCTACATTTCCTTTGATACGACACGGGAAAACGAATCGTTAAACATTTTTTATATTGTTTCGTGTGTTTTCGTTGCCGCAGTAACGTTTTTACCGAGCAGTTGCCTAGCAACGAAAGGGGGATACACATACAGACACGCAGACTGATGTGAGCACACCGTTGAGATCGGCTAAAGCGCCATACAAAGTTTCATAAAGACTGGTTTAGGTATTCAAAAGTTGATAAGGGGGAAACACAGACAGCATGGTGATCTCATAAGCCTGCTTTTATTACTTTAAAATAAAGGAAAAAAGCCTAAAAATTGTCCAGGGTCTCTAGAATACTATCGCGGTTGAGAAAGAAAAAATATAACGAAATCTCTGTTGACACCATAATGCTTTAAAATCAGGGTCGTTTTGTTTTGTTAATATAGCACCTGAGTGCTGGAGTGAACTATGTCCACCAACACCGATTTTCGGGAAAATGGTTTTGAACTTAAGGAATGAGCTGCAGTTTAAATGTGACTTAGATAAAAATACTTTGACGTCTAGATCCGTTGCTAAGCAGTGACTCCAGACCGTTTTGGGGCAACGGCTCGGTAAACATTTTTCCGTTGCTAGGCAGCAGAATTTTAATAATGGACTGCAACAATGGAAACGGGGTGTTTCTACGTGGTCCGTACCGAGATGTTACAAGCAAGGAGCAAAGTTGGTTCAGTAGAGTTCTGCACGGGAGGCTGTGAAGAGAGGAACTGAGCGCGTGAAGCTGAAGAATCTCTATTGTTAGAAGCCGTTTCCAGGGAACGGCTGGAGAAGACACAGCATGATGGAAAAGACTTAGCGTGTGCTATGATGATTTGTGAATTGTCAAGGTTTGCTGTTGCGCTGTAATTGCTTGTAGTTCCCAGTCGTGTGTATAAGTTTTCAGTAAATTTTGTTACCAATCCAAAGCCAGTCTATAATCACTCAAAATCATGACAGTACATTCTGAAACCTATGGGAACATGTGGAGAGAGCGCAACACAATAGTGAGAATCAAGAAAAATGTGTTATCTCATTTTCGTCCCAGATATGAGATAGATGGCATATTAAGCAGTTTATTCATATGATCACCCGAATACGATGTGAAAGGAACGCGCATGAATACTTTGTGTGATGTGGCATGAAGTAATTGCGGTTTTATTATATAAACTGCGCATGCCCAGTGACTGAGAAGTGAATTACAATATTATGTGCCTGAATGCACGTATCATTGGGTCTGGAACATATTCTGAAGCACGTAATTCACACGTGACACATACTTCTTTCTACACGGTTATTTTCGGGCGTAAGAACTTCGATTTATTTCTTTATACCAATATGAAAAGTAACAGACTCAATAACGAAAGAAGATAATTTAATAATTATCAGATCGAGAGGGTTGGCGTAGCGGGAAGAATCTAGAATCGTATTTTGGGATGTTTCCGGTTCGAATCTTCGCCGAGACTCACGTTCAGCATGACGTATTTCGTGGTTCTTCTTAGTCCGTACAGGTAAATGCCTGGGTAAAACCTCGGTTAGGCCATGGCTGCATCTCTCCATACAATTTCCGATTTATCATTCGTCTATTATCCTAACATTGAACGTTATATTTTCTATAGACTGAAAGTGTCCTTAACTAATGCACAAGAAATATTGTCTTTTAATATTGCTTTGTTAAGGATATCAACCCGATAAAAATTACATCCGAAATTCAGTTAATTAACGTGTCTGGGTGTGTCTTTCAACAGCACAGTCATGCTTGGTTTCTGGCTCGATCGGGAACCTTGATCATATTTTTGTTAATATTGCATCTCAGCATCCCATTGCAGTGATGTGTCACACACGTTCACTTTCGTCTTAAATGTAAGTTTGTTTACAATTACTCATTTACGTAAAAATAAAAATTAAAAATAAACCATTAAAAATATGCAATTTCTAACGGTTAATTCTTAATTTTTATGTAAAGGAGTAATGGAGTAATAGGACTGGGGATAGCTCAGTCTGTATAGCGACTGGCTACTGGGTAGGGATAATAATTTTCTCCACGTCGTCCAGACCGGCTCTTGGGCCCACCCAGCCTCCTATTTAATGGGTACCAGGGGCTCTTTCCCGGGGTTAAAGCGGCCGGTGTGTGAAGCTGACCACTCATCTGCAACTATTGACCCCATACGCCTTCATGGCATAGTGCTTAATTAGTTAAGCATAGGGACAACTTTACTTTTATGCAAATTAGTAATTCTAAATAAAGTAACATTTAAGACGGAAGTGAACGTGTATAAGTGATATGTTTGTTGTTTCCAAACTTTTGCATGTTTTAAAATGGGGCCTCTTCTTCTACGACGACAGAAGGGGTCTTACTACTACTGGTCACTCCTATGCGGGCTCTCACTCACTCACTCACGCCTCTGACCGTATTTCGGTCAGGTCGGTCAAGTGAATTGTGCTCGGCCTCGCCAGCAAAGTCAGTGTTGATGTCTGAGGGCTTGCTTACCCCATCCGTACAGACCATGGTGACTATAGCCATAAGGGTAACCACCATAGAGTCCGTATCCATAGCCTAAACCATAGGAATTTGCGGGCTTGAGCGTCTCTTTCGGCTCCGACTGCTCCAGGAGTTCCGTCTCGGCTGGAGCACCAATCACCAGCGCCACTATCGCCACCGCCACTGCGAGGAAAAGGCCCTGTAAAATAGCCATCACTTCATCTGGTGTCGATATTTCGTTAGACCCATACCAATCTACTTACCATCTATTTCATAGCTGTTGTCTTGCTAGGTTCGACCCTGAAGATGGAGGCAGCACATACCTCCGAAACGGTAGGTGCTATACGTACTCTTCGACTTTGTAGCTTATTCATAGAGGTTGGAGCTTTCGTTTGCTTCGTTGTAATGAAGGATTAAATCAAATTTCATCTTATGTTATAAGAAGTTAATAGGCGTTTCGGAGGAATGTACTGTCTCCATCTTCGTGGTCAAAGAGTAAGCCAATCAAGTGCCAAGAAGCAGGCAGAGAAAGGAGAATTTTGCTAAGGAAACTTCTTGGAAAATATGGATAAGAACTGACAGGAAATCAGAAGGGAGGATTTTAGGAAAGTTTGTTCTGAGGACCGAACATGGTGTTCAGTCTTCCGGTTCTGCTACCGCTGCATTACTGCAATTGGCGTCATGCAGTAATAAAATTCACCACATAGGATTTCAGGTTCTCACAGCGATGGGTATGAAGAGTTCTGTCTCCTGGGATATAGCGCTATGCAGGGTCTGGGGTTCTCACAGCGGTGGTTATGAAGAGTTCTCTCTTCTGGGATATAGCGCCGTGTACTCCGTTGAAAGTCAGCAGACGTTTCGGAGGAACATGTCGCCTCTACTTCCACGCAGGTTTCTTGCTAGGTTTATTCTTAGGTCGTGAGGATTGAAGCAACATGTTCCTCCGAAACGTCGGCTGAAATTCAACGGACTACATGGCGTTATGCCCCAGAATATAGAAATCATAATAAAATTCACTGTTTCGATTTAAAAGAGGAGTGTCTACGCAGTGACGTCTTATTTTGTAAAGTTATTTTCGTCCTGAAGAATATATGTCTGCCCAGTGTATGGAAACATTCTGCATATCTGTGCTCATACACGTACATGCAAATCAATTCTAACGAACGAATGCATAAGTCACTGACTAACTAACTGACACTCACTTTATGGAGCAGAGCCCTTCTTAAACTCCTGCCAGTCACGCAGCTACTCAAAAAATTTCCAATATTTTTGGAACCTGAAGGTTCATTAGAGTATTCACAAAAGCCTTCCACTGGTCCCTATCCTCAGCCACATCAATCCAATCCATACCACCCCATCCAATCTCTCTAAGATCTATTTTAATATTACCCACCCACCGCCTCTGTGATCTAGTGGTCAGAGTTCCTGGCTACAGATCCAGAGGTCCCGGGTTTGATCCCGGCGCTACCACATTTCCTGAGAAGTAGTGGGTCTGGAAAGGGGTTCACTCAGCCTCGTGAGGATATTGAGGAGCTATTTCAAGGAAACAGCGGCTGCGGTCTAGAAAACCGAAATTAACTACCGTGGGGATGCATTGCGCTGACCACGTGACACCCTCTATCCTCTAAAATTGGCACTAACTTCGCTGACAAGCGGCGGTAGCTCGGTCGGTATAGTTCGCTCGCGGGCTAAAGCCATTGCGTTTTATGATGTAATACAATTATAAATTATCAAATTATGGTATTTTATTTTATCCCTGATTTATTTAACGACGCCCTCAGTATCTCAGATTGTGTAGCTAAGACTTATATGATGATCAGTGGATAATGAATTAAAAGGTATGTGGAATGAAGTGGTCATGACATTGTTTCAGAACTTGCCTGGCGAGACAGAAGTGAACCTTGAGAGCTATCACTTACAGCCGTTTCAGTTTAAATCTCGGCCGGTACACCAGTTATTTTGACTAAGATGGCTGGTGCTTTCCGTCATTGCTTCCAAGCAAATGCCTTGAAAATTACCATGATTAGCACATGACTCCTTCCTTCGAAATCCTCTCCAATTAATGGTTCTTTTATCCTTCGTTGCTAAGAGCTTCGTGAAATAACCCAGGGTAGCCGGTCGCCTGACTGAGATTTGAGCCCAGTACTCTCCAAGTAAGGAGGCCAGCGCGGTAACGTAGTTGATTGAGGCACTATGCTACAAGTCGGAAGGTCGCGGGTCCGATTCCCGATGAAATCATTGGATTTTTCGTTTAACTTAATTCTTCCAGCCGCACTATGGCCCTGGGGTCGACTGAGCCTCTAACAGAAATGAGTACCAGGAATTTTCCTGGGGGTGAAGGGCTTCCGGCGCGTAAGGCTGACAACCTCACTGGCATCTGTGAGCTGATTGTCTAGAGAAAATGTGGGAGCCTCAACATCTCACAACCCAATGGGCCTCCACGGTCTCTTACAGGGATAGCTCTACCTTTTTATATATTTTTTACGTAATGAGAAGTTTTTCAGTAGACTGGACTCATTCAAGTAGATTTCATGACGGAAATTTGTCAAACAGACGCTGCATCTACGGATTACTTTGCTTGAATCTTCGGGTATCACGACAACCGGGAATCCCCTAGCGTTTGAGTTCCTATGGATAGTTAGTTCAGCGTATGCTTTATTCTACAGACTTAGTGTAAATCGTTTCCATTTTTTGCCAACATTTGACAACAATTAGTTACTATAGGATTCTGACGATAGTGTATAACACACAGAGATACTGGGTTTTCGGACTTTATCCATCGTCCTGGTTTTAAGATAACTGAGAAAAACACGACGTTTCTACGGCTCTATCTATCCTGGTTCCACGCTTGTACGTATTTGGAACAATTTGTAATGTATATTTTTCTTATTAGCTCTCATGGATTTAGCCTGGTCTCAGGTGTTTATAATCTTCATGTTTTGTGACATCGGTTTGTCCAGTGATTGAGGCTAGCTCTTTCTAAGGGACCCAACAGAATAGGTGTTTTCCCTCACCTGAGGACGGAAACAGATCCAGTTTCCGAAACCTCGTGTTTTTCTTAGTTATCTTAAAACCAGGACGATGGATAAAGTCCGAAAACCCAATATCTCTGTTTGACAACAATGGCTGATATTTATTTTTCAGTATTTGTATTGTCGTATTGTATTGTTCAGTCGACCTCGAGATATATTAAGTGAGAAGTTTTAAGCTCGCTAGCAACTCTGTCAAATTGAACTGTGATAATCACTGCATATCTGAAAATAATTATGGAAAGTCTTGTATGACTTACAGTTCTGCAGAGAGCCATTTTGATGTTGGAGCCTAAACAGTTGTGTTTCTTGGCTGTTGGTTTCTGTATACGTAACTGACTCCTTTCCTCTCTTTATATACTTCCCAGAGTTCTCAGTGTTTTGCTTGCGAATCCAGGAAATAATGAAACAGTGGGTGGGGACAGATGGTCTGCCATGAGGGACACCACCATATTTAACAAAGAAACTAAGGACAAATAGATTAAGTCTGTTGCCTTGACATCCAAAAGACAATAAACCGTAGTGGAACGAAAAAAAAAAAAAAGAGAGACATGCTACTGTGTCCTGACTTTGCGTTTGTGGTTGTCGTGCTCTTAAGTTTAGCACAATATTTATGAAATTGAAGTGTTACCGTTAGTCAAGGACTATTGCTTTCCTGGTACACTTCGGTAGCCAGCAAGTTTTATAGTGTATTGAAATTTAAAATTTTGTGGAATATTTCAAGGCCACATAGCGTCGAATTGTATAGCATCTCCTAGACTAGCCTGTTTTATGGGATTCATTTAAGCATGTTTTAATTAGCCTAACTAGTTTCATGGGTTGGCTTATGCCATACAAGAAGAAGATTGAAGAATTCCGTCTTCTTGGATGTGGCGCCGTGAAGATCTGGTGTAAATTGTATAGCATCTCCTAGACTAGCCTGTTTTATGGGATTCATTTAAGCATGTTTTAATTAGCCTAACTAGTTTCATGGGTTGGCTTATGCCATACAAGAAGAAGATTGAAGAATTCCGTCTTCTTGGATGTGGCGCCGTGAAGATCTGGTGTAAATTGACGTTTCGGTTGAAGGTATCGCCTCCATCTTGAAGGCAGTAAAATCTGCGAGCAGAGTGGCTGCTGACTGAGTCACCAGTCGACTGGTGACTGAATATTGAGGCGATACGTTCTTCCGAAACGTCGGTTTACACAAGATCCACGCGTCGACACATCCCAGAAGACGGCATTATTCATAGTCACCGCCGTGAAAACCTCAAATCTTACACAGAGAATAAGATTTTTTCATTAAATGTTTGTGACGTTTGTCTGCTATTGATTACAAAACTGTTGAATTCTAAATTGCGCATTGTTTTGGTTAAATTTAGTCATACGTTTCGGAAGCTGCATTTGCTTCCGTCTTCAGCTATTAAAAAGGGGAAAATCGTATTTATTTCAGTGCCATATCCAGATTTAGTCTCGATCACTGGGTTAGGCTAATTATGTTTAGGGGGTCCAACTGAATAGAATGATTTCCACTTTTGAATATCTGATGACGGAGATAGATCCATCTTCCGAAACGTCGTAGACTGTTAAACGTAACTAAGACAATGGACAATATCGGGTGAAACGATATTATAACAAGAGGATTTCATGAAAGAAGAATTGTGATCTTAACCCTCTAGATTTTAATCCTCTTAAAATGTTTCAAATTATTTTTAATGTGTTTAAAGCAGTAAAGAAGTGTTCCCGCCCGTCTCTTTTCGGCGGAATGAGATTTTAGGATTTTGACCAACAGAACGATACCCCAAATTATGTCACATTGATAAACGGACAGCAACGAGAAACTGCGAGACAATGATTGGACGTAAATCTTTAAAAGAAAACGGCTATTATAAAACTTGTCAACATTCTGCGGATTGGGCGGTTCGATTCTCTTCTGAGGCAAGATATTTTTTCTGTACTTCACAGCGTCCAGACCTGCTGTGGGGCCCACCCAACCTCCTGTCCTCTTCTTTCCCCAGTGATGAAGCCGCAGGATGGTAAACCTGACCACTTACAAGAACGGTATACGTCCCTCTCTCCCGTACGTCTCCATTTTTTTTGTTATATAGTCCCATTTTATTTGCAGTCTGTACTAATACATTCAGTAAACTGTTATGATGTACATGACTTGAAGAGGAGAGCTCATTTGCACTCTTCTTTAGAGGGTAGGCTTGAGGCTTCGTGTGACTTTTGGAGGAGTGTTTACTAGCTAGATCTTTAATCTAGAATTATTGTTATACTATTGCAACATGAATCTGGTGGGCAGATCATTTGGCAGATGTCTTCGCAGTCGCCTCAAGTCCGGTGGCTCCGTAAGGCGGGCGGCTAGGTTGTCTGGATGTGCTCTGAGCCGAGTATTGTATGGGGCGCTGTATCGGCGAATTTCTTCTCTCACTGTTGGTATTTGGAGATGTCTTCGGATGACTATGTTCGGTACGTACCAAGGTGCGTCCACTATCATGCGCAAGGCTTTAGCTTGAAATCGTTCTAGGATTGCTATGTTTGAGTTTGAAGCTGTACCCCAAAGTTGCATTCCATAGGTCCAGATTGGTTTGAGGATTGTTTTGTATATAAGGAGTTTGTTGCCTGTAGAGAGTTTTGATTTACGTCCGAGTAGTCAGTGCATTTTGGTGAGGGTAATTCCCAGTTGTTTCCGTTTTGCTAGGATGCGTTTGTGCCAGGTAAGTCGTCTGTCAAGGCGCAGTCCAAGATACTTGACGTCTTCTTCTTGGGGAATTGTGCGTTGTTTATGTGTACCTGTGGGAATGTTTCTTTTCTTGTGGTGAACGTAACGTGGATCGATTTGAATTCATTTACTTTCTCCATTTTTTTTATCCAGTTTTGAATTGCTAGTAGGTTGGTTTGCAGTTTCTGCGAAGCAGCAGCCGGATCGTTATCTGTGGCTACCACGGCGGTGTCGTCAGCAAAGGTTGCTGTGATTGTTTCTGAAGTGGTTGGGAGGTCTGCAGTATATAATAGGTCGCTGCCTTGGAGTACGCCCGCGTTGATTGGGAATAGTTCTGTGTGCTCTGTTTCAGCTTGTACGAGGAAGTGTGTATTCTGCAAGTAGGACTTGAGGATAGTGAAGCAGTTCGGAGGGAGAGACCGTTTTAACTTGTATAGGAGTCCTGTATGCCATACGTGTACTTTGTCAAATGCTTGCGAGATCTCCAAAGATGCTGCAGAACGTATTGTTTGTTATCTATGGCTTCATTTATCTTAATGAAGCTTAGGAACAACTTTACTTTGTTTATTGAGACTTCATAAGAAAATTTACTGTTGATATCCGCATTTACCTGTAGAATCCAACATAAAAAGCAGTTTATGTTATTACTGATGTTGCTTTATTGCTAGTGGGTGGGACTATGTCCCTTGTACTGCGGCCACTTCTGGCCTATTGTACCAGCCCCAGATGATAGGTGAGGGCGATTGTCGAGCAATTGGTGGAATGAAGATTGGCAGGGGAAACCGAAGTACTCGGAGAAAACCTGCACCAGCACAACTTTGTCCACCACAAATCCCACTTGACCAGACCCGGGATCGAACCAGGGCCGCCGCGGTGGGAAGCCAGCGACTAACCGCTTGAGCTATGGCGCGGCCCTATTACTGATGTTAGTGAGAGGGCACTCTGTAGCGTAGTTGGTTGAGGCACTATGCTGCAAGCCGGGCCGCCCCATAGCTCAAGCGGATAGTCGCTGGCATCCCACCGCGGCGTCCCGGGTTCGATCCCGGGTCTGGTGAATTGGGATTTGTGGTGAACAAAGTGGCTCTGGGGCGGGTTTTCTCCGAGTACTTCGGTTTACCCTGCCAATCTTCATTCTACCAAATTCTCCATCATCATAATCACCCGGGGCAGGCTACAATAGGCCAATCAGTGGCCGCCATGCCGAGTGGACCCAGTTGGACTCCACCCCCACTAAGCGAAATGCTACAAGCTGGAAGGTCGCAGGTTCAAATCCTGATGAGGCAATTTTATTTTTTCATTTGACCAAATCCTTCCAGCCGAACTATGGCCCTGGGATCGGCTCAGCCTCTAACAGAAATGAGTACCAGGAATATTCTGGGGGGAAAGGGCGGCCGGTGCGTAGTGCTGACACCCTTACCGCCATCTGTGAGCCGATTGTCTAGAAAATGTGGGAACCTCAACGTCTCACAACACCATGGGCCTCCATGGCCTGTTACAGGGATAGCTTTACTTTTTTACTTTGAATAATAAAAGTGTAGAAATCAAATTAACGAGAGATAAGTAATTTGATTAGTAGTAGCTGAGACCACATAGAGTATAGTGCTAGGATAATTAGTGAATAATGAATTGGAAAGGATGTGGAAGGAAGCGATCGTGTCCAAAATTTTTGGTAGTGTTCCGGTATTTTGCCGATCACAGCGCCTGCGCTAAGGCAGAGTTTCTCAACTGCCGGGCCCTGGCTTCAATTATACCCGGCCACTGGTCTAAGGCATGAACCGTCTTCGTCCTCCCGAATGCTAGGATCGCGGGTTCGAACCGCACTCAAAGCATGGATGTTTCTATATGCGTTTGTGTTGTTTTTTTGTAGGTAGCGGCCTTGGGACGGGCTGATCCCCCGTCCAAGGCGTCCTACCGTTTGTGTATAGGTTAAGAAAGTGAAAAGCGGCCTATGTCCACATGGGCTGTAGAGTCATAGATAGGTTACGGTACTTAAATGCAGAGTCTGAAGAATCAAACGAAAATTCTGTCAGGGTAATCCATGTTTTCGGTTGAGATTCGAACCGGGCACATCACAAGTCAGAAGTATGACCGCTTTTGTTAGTTTGTTCGATAAAATAAAATAATATACGCAAGAAATAAAACAACTGAGTTCTGAGTTCTCAAGACCATGAAAATGTTCAGACTTTCGTCGTTATTATATCGTACAGCTTGCCAGAGGTCTCGTATCATAGCCTAAAGGACCATAATCAAAGACTGATTTCCCGCGAGCGTTCCTGGCAAGTCATGGCGAATCATCAGTTGTGTGCCTTTATGGAGACAGCCCCATTGAAATATAAGATTCACCAAGACGCGTCTGAAAAAAGTTGAGCACCGCAGATGCTCATGAGATAAATACAAAAAAACAAACTTCGTGGCCTTTAGTCCGCAAGCGAACTATACCGACTGAGCGACCGCCGCTTGTCGGCGAAGTTTAGTGCCAACTTTTGCGGATAGAGGGTGTTGAGTTGTCAGCACAACGCATCCCCACGGCCGTTAATTTCGGTTTTCTAGACCGGAGCCTCTATTTCCTTGAAATAGCTCAACTATCCTCACGAGGCTGAGTGGACCCCGTTC